CTTTTTCCCACCCCTTCCTCCCTCCCTCCTTCCTCTGTGTTGAGTTCATTATTTAGAATGTCTATAAAAAAAAAAAGTTGCTTCTGCCACCACCGTTCACTGTGTAGAAAGAACAATTCTTTGACCATAGGAAGGACCACCACTTCTGAACGCCCACCGTGTAGCAGGGAGTGGTCATTTGTTCATTCATCAACAGAGGCAGGTGGGCATCTTGCACTGTCATGATTGCTGTGGGTGTAGCCATGAGCAGGACAGACAACCCCCCTCCTCGCCTTCGTGGCGCTGGCAGCCCCGTGATGGGGGACAGACAGTGTGTGGTTTCGCTCTGGTGCACCTGGTTCTGCTCACCTGAAAGAGCAGAGTCAGTTTTAGCTGACAAGGTGAGAATGGCTAGGAATTCCGGGCCTGGCTCTACAGGAAACCTCTGGTTAGAACCCAGGACCTTGGGGAAAGTTTTCAGGGTCACAGGAATTGAATGAGAGGTTTGCTAAAGAATAGAAGAGTCTGGGGAAGCTAAGTAGGGATGGTCATTATAACACCTGCTCTCTGCCCAAAGGTGTCTATTCTGCTGAAAATTAAAATCAGAATGAACTTTGGGATACTTTAAAAGCAGAAAAGGGTAAAAAACCAATTGGTTATTTTTGCTACCCTGTAGAGGCTGTGTTTTTCTTTCCCTTTTCTTGAATAATTTGCCTTCATTTTAGCCAATTAGGAGCTGGGCAACCCCAATGACTGACTCCTTTTGAATTCTCTTGTTTTATAGTAATGGATTCATGACTCATTACCAGTCTTTTAAAAAAGAAGTTCCAGGAAGAACAAACAAATCATTCCCACTTCCTCACCTCCTTCTCTCTCTCTCTTTCTCCCCCCTCCATCTTGATCTCAATTACTTGATCATCCCATGTCTTTGTGATGTTTGTATTTATTTCAGTAATTTTAAGAATTCGTGTATCAATTCATTGATAAATATTTCTTGTGCACCTACTGTGGACAAAGTACCTAAGGAAAGTCAAGTTATCTAGGCAATTATGGAACAATACATACACAGTGTGAAGGCCCCTTAGAACCTTCTTTACTCAGCTCATCCACACTTAAAGGTAAGAGTGTCTGGGAAAGGCTGTTGGCTTTCCTAAAATAAAAGATGTATCCTTTCATTCTGCAGAACGAGAGCCATGGCTGGACCAAGTGTGGAGCACTGCACCACCTCACAGGCCAAGCAAGGGCTGTGCAATCATAAACTTGGAAAAGACGGTTCGGGACAACTGAGACACTGCTTGCTCAAACAGAGCAAGGATATAGAATGGCTGGCAGAGCCAACGTGAGCGAGCAGCCTACGGAGGGGAAGGCAGGGGAAGCCACCGACAGAAGAGGAGCTCGAAAAATTCAGAGAGAGTTTAACAACAGCCTGGACAGAGAGCAAGATTTCTGCTGTGCCTCACAGTCAGGCAAGGGGCGAGAGAGGGAGAGAGAAAAGAGAGACAGTGGAGGGTTTGTTTCTGCTATAGACCACACTGTACCAGCTGCTGGCTCCTCCTCTGCAGGGCTGGAAATCCTCTGGGGGAGATGTGGAGCCAGGACAGAGAGGAGGAAGGCACAGGGGAGAATAAACACAAAGAGTGAATTTCTTGCTGCCTCTGGAGACAGTGTTTCCTTTAGGTGACAACAGAGGTTAATATCCTGAGTAGCAAGCCACTGCTGAGCAGAAAGCCACCGCGCGGCCCAGAGACACCTCCCTTGGAACAAGCTGTTTTAGCGTCCTCTTGTAGGTTTTATTGAACTCTTCCCCCAAAGGGCCAATTCATCTCTCCTTTCAGAGACACTTAATGCAGCTTTCTTGAAAAGTTCAAGAAATTTTCCAATCACTCTCCACCAACCTGTATCCCCCACTGCTCAAATCCCACTGAGGACACCAGTCTGATAGGGATTTCAAGTTCACACACAGAGACTTTTCAGTTATTTACTCTGCAGAGGGAAAAAATAAGGACTGTGGTTTTTTTCTTGATCCCTTCCCCCACCCCCAGTGTCTGCTCCTAACAGGTGGTCATGTCCCTTCTCAATCTTCTGCAGACTCATTAATTTCAAAAACAGCAATAGAGGGAAGGAACTCGTCCAATTCTTATTTTCAACAAGAGGTGAACAAAAACAATCATCTCAGGAGATAAAAAGCACTAGTGAAAAACCAGAGAGCAAAAGAGATCAGAGGAAGACAGGGTTGTTTTTCATCTGGAGTTATTAGCAGCATCTTCAAGAGAAGGTTTGTAATCTGTTCACAACTTCTCGGGTATGGGCAGAAAACACAAATCAATAGGTGGTGGTGGGAGAATCTTTTTTTAAAGTTCCATTTCTCTCACAAAAAAACATAGTTTGGGGGAAACTGAAACACTGACAACTTGATCTCATAAAGGTCAACCCTATTCTGAATGCTCAAAAAAGCAAGCACACCAGGCTTCCCTCCTCCCAGGCCCCCAAACTCTCTACACCAACCTTCAGAAATAAGTGAACTTACAACCTTTAGAAATCAGTGCAGTCTTTGAGAATAAGCAGCTTAAAATCTCCAGACCACTTCCTACGTGGCCAAGGCCTAACTTCCCAAGTGGTCCCTGGCCTGCAAAGCCCCATGTCCACCAAGGCTTTGGAAATGAAAGGCTGGATAGAACTGGGGCCCTGAGCATCAGCCCTTCCTGCCTGGGCCTTCGCTACAAGTGGAAAGGAAACATCAACCTCAAAGAGAGCACACCCCAGACCTCCCCTCACTGCCTGGAGGCAGGTGCCTGGGACTTGGCCACCAAGGCCACTGGGGAGAGTGGCCAAAGCCCCAGCTCCTGTGCGCATCACACAGCCCTGGGGAAGTGTTGCAATCCTAACCCTCTACAGATGATTCGGGGAGAGCGAGAGTATGCAGCTTGGAGAGTAAGTTCAGCGGGGTGGGCAGCACGTTCAGGGATGTGAACAACAAACAGACGAAATTTTAATGTTTATTGCAAGTAAAAGCCTGATAAAAAAGTATATTTATACCAACCCACCAATTTCTGGGTATATTTCCCCTAAAATCGTGTCCTGTCTTCCTTCTAATCTCTCGGCTGCATATTTCCATCCATGTAACTGAGATGCAAGGGAGGCAAATTGCTACTCTGAGCATTTCCCTGAAGCAGCCCTCTCTCACTTTGCTCCTCTTCTCTTTTGGAATAAAAGTCTGTCAACAATGTTTAATTAAATGGAAGTCTTTCCACTGTTAATGACTAGCTGTATGAAAGGCTTTTCATTTTTTTAAGGAGGGGTGCGTGTGCGTGTGTATTTAGAACAGTCCCTATTAATTTCCTGATATTGATTCTCTGGCTAAGGAAGAGCATATAGTATTCAGCATAGAGCTCCTCTGCAGAATATGTTAAAGGCAGCGGTTTGGATTGAGAAAGGGCACCAAATGCAGTATGCGTCAAACAGACCATCGCTCAATGAAGTCACTTAGCTATTCAAAACATGTTCAGCCATCACTCAACTGTTTGCACCAAGAATGTTGGGAGGGGGACAGGGGATTTGGGCTCTTTCCCAGATGTACCCATTTCCCAAAGAATGTCTTTTGCTCAGTGTGGGTTAGACACTGGGGCCACATCAGTTTCTTCCTCTCGCATCCGTTTCCCTCTCTTCTCCCCCATGTCCTGGCCTCAACTCCCCGCATCACCATCCCATGTTGAGCTTAACAAACAATCCTGCAGTCCCCACTTCCCAATACTGCCTCAAACAGTCTCCAGTACTGGTTCATATCAGAAGCAAAGCACATAAGCCTTTCTTTCCATATAGAAACGTATGTATATCTCTGTGCATGTCTTTCTTTGGGTGGCTGTAGCTTGTACACACAGACATAAATAGCCATTCAAACGCAGTCTCTTATATTAAAGTCTGTTGCTAAATGCGGGTTGTATGACCTGCAGGAGTTTTTTTTTCTGTGCTTATTAATGTGTCCCAGAAGCACATGCCTTCACCCGTACCCTGATCTCCCAGCCTTTACACCATGGAGGCCCCTTTGCTCACAGCACACGTACACATGCCTCAACGACCCTGCAAGATCAAGGCAAACAGCTGACACCCCTGCCCCACTGCTCCCTCATTCCTCCCTCAACCTCCCCATGCCCTCACCTCCCTCCCTCCCTGCCTGCCTGCAAAACGTCTGATTCTCAAGCCGGCTGCAATGCTGACTCTACTCGCTTCTGGATAACAGACATGTCACTCTGTGTGGAAGTGAACCGGTTGTCAGACTAACCTGCAAGTGAATGGCTGTTTATTAGGACTTGGACTTGTTTCTTGTGAGAGACGTATGTATTTTTAGACTTTGTGAATGTTAACACACACACAAACACACACACAGCCAGCCGCTTCGAACATATGTGTGGCTCATAAACATTACGAAATCCTCTTGATCTGAGGTTGAGATCCTGGAATAATTAGGATTTACCAAAAAGGATTCTTAGAAACAACAGATTTTTCTTGAGAGAGAGAGAGAGAGAGAGAGAGAGAGAGAGAGAGAGAGAGATCTGCAGATGATGTGTCCGAGACTTTTGGAGAGTCAGGGGAAGAGGAGGGGGGAAAGGAAGAACATTTAAAAATTCTTCATTGCAAAAAGAAGAGCAGCATTGAGACCAGCAGTTATTTTCCCTTCGCATAAATGGCAATGCTAAACTGAATGGCCAATCCTAATGATTCCGAAGCAGGCAGAGCATATTTGACTTTTAAAGGCATCCTCTCCTTGTTTTCATCACATCATAGATTATTCCAATGAAGAGATTTGGGGAAGGGGGAGGGTAGAGGCGAGAGAGTAGAGTATGGTTTTTGCCCATTGCTTTTCCTGCCTCTGAAACTAACCCAACCAACCTTGATCTGCGGTGGAAGGAGTGAAGTAAGAAAATGGTGGAATGTAAAGGGGACTTATTTGGAAGAGGGTGGGGAGGGGCAGTGAAGAGGGGAGGGGTGGGGTGGGAGGGGGGAGGCGATGGGAAATCACATACCTTCTAGGCAGCAGGTTCTCCATAATCCAGAATGGGTCATAACTTCCTCGTTCTTTTTGCTGGTTTCATTCTCACTGACACTTTTTGTCTTGCAAACCCCTCTGGAGTAAAGCCAATAGTCGGTTCCCACAGCTATGGTCATCAGGCTGAAGGCAGCGAAAGCACCAACGGTGGTTAAAAGCATTTGAACACCTCGGTCAAACAGCCCCATAATTCTTCATTATATAAACACCCAACCGACTTCTGGTTCTCGGGAGAGTGTGTGTGTGAGGGTGCGAGTACTAAAGCAAAAAATAAAAAATAAAAACAATCCCACTACTAATATAATGGGTATGTGTGTGAATAGAGAATATGGAGAGAGATTTTAAAAAAAAGGGAGGTAAGAAAGCTCACGGAAAAGAGTGTAAATTATAAAGATCACACGGGAAGAGAGGCTTGCCTTTTGAGATCAGAAAACTGTTCCAGTTGCCGTGATTTTTTTTAAAAAAGAAAAAATAAATAAAATAAAAAAGACACCCCCCACCCCCCCCAAGTGAGATGCCTTAATCTCTTTTCCTAAAATTCTGGTCTCCAGTTTCCATATGTGATAGCTAGTTTGGAGATGGCTTCCACAGGGAACCAGGGCACAGCCGACTTCTCAGCACCGTCTCTCATGGTCGGGACCTGGACAGTTAGAGACTGTGACAGCCGAGATGCCAGCTTCGGTCTTGGTCCTGGGCTCTGCGGCCTGCGCCATGAAAATCCTTTGCTCCGCCAGTTCTCTTCCTTGGGGGGTCTCGGCGCTTTCGTTTCAGACCAGACTCCCCAGTGTTCTGGAAGCCCTTGCGCTCAGCTGCCTGGGTGCGGGGGTCTCGCCTTCCATGGTTCTGCCCCGGCGGTGGCAGCGGGCAGGGCGGGAGCAGGCGGCGGCGGCAGGACGAGCAGCGGCGGCGGCTGTTGTTGGTGGCGGGGGGAGTGTCGGCGAAGTGGGGGGAGGGAAGGGGTTTCTCCCGGAGAATCGAGGCGGGTTTCCCTCCCCCTATCTGCAAAGCTCCTGGAAACAAGCGAGCCGGCGCCTTGCTGCAGGATGGGCCGCCCGCCTGCCCCCCCTGGCTGCCGGCGGGGCCCCCGGCGGAGGCGCGGCC